ATTCTAAAAGAAACATAACAATATTGTTTTATGTACTTTCACTTTTCACGTATAGTATAACTACTCTTTAAGATTAAGTACTGTGTATCTCAAAAACCAGAGCTAATAAAAATTTTTCATTGTTATTTTCGTTTTTATCACCCCAAAATTAGTAGAAATTGACTAATTTAGTGTAGGAAACATTCAAAAAATATTGTTTTGTTGTGTTGTGATAATTAATGACTCGAATAATTAATTTTCAATGGCCACATAGTCTTTAGTAGTAACAAACGGAAAATACGATTTGAAACTTTTCAGTTAATACATGTCTGGTGTAATGTGAATTCACCTTCAGTTTGCATTATCATAAACATTGAGATTATCACCAAGTAATATTTCCTACAGAGCATTTTCTTACCACTTCAGCGCATTTGAGCATTCCAGGCAGTTGCCTAATATAAAATGGATCAAATCTTATTGATGTTTCAACAGTAGTACTACTAGTCTGTACTGTAGTAGTGGTTGTGTGTTGTCCTGGAAAACCTGGATCAACCATTTTTACCTGAAAACTGAATTATATTCAAAAACTTATTTTAGTGATTGACTCAGTAGGTAGTGGAATGATGTCACACCTCAAGGTAAAACTACCATAATACAAAATCATAATTATATTTGGCACAGTTTCAAGTTTCATCAATATCTTCTACAATTATTACTTTTCAACTTTTCTCATTTCTTGCAAACTCACCCTTTATTACAACTGGATTTTTCAGAAAAATAAATAACTGTTCAAAATACAAATGGTAGCAGATCAAAACAGGCTAATTTCATTCCACGGCAAAAACGGAAATATCAAAGTAAAGCTCAAATGGTTATCTGGCTAATAATACACAAAATTATAGTATGCAAAATAACATAAACTTTCTTCTGTATTTACTTTTAAGGGGGGCGGTAACATCAACCGATAATTGAATGGGGCGGGTGGAGCACAGTGTTGCCGGCTTTTTATTTCAGATTCTTTCTCTCGCTAATCTAATATGGGCTTTGCTTCCGTCTATGCTTCCGTTCAGACGGAGTAAGCCATGTCTATTCGTGGTGATAACTGAACTTATTGTCCAGTTATCACCCGAAGACGATTGTGGATACTAACAATCGAAACGGCATGAAGTAACTCGGTTTGGAATCTTTTAATTTTATATTTTTAATTTTCATTTCTTGTTAATAATTTTTTAATTTTCATCTTATGTTAATGGTTCGATTTTTTTTATTTTTTGGTTGTTGCTTGTATTTTATTTCACTGTAATTTCAGTTTTCTTGCTTGGTATGATTGTTATTTTTTAGCTAATCTTTTTTAATTTTTATAGATTCTTTCAGGGATTTCAAATCAATTTATATCATATTAGACAATGGAAGTACGAAATAATGAAATATTTCAAATAGGTTACAAATAAAAAAAAGGAAACACAACTATCACCAGTGGTGACGCAAATTTATATGAGAGATACAAACATGATGTAAATAATATGGTAATTAAAATTGAAGAAAATATATGGTAATTAAAGGTCACAATTAAAATGATTCAGGTTCAAACATGTGAGCTGGTGTGGCCAGGTACTCGTTGACACTATAAAAATAATGTGTTGTCAAGAAATTTTTAATAAACTTATTGAAACTAAATATAGGTAGATCTTTAACAATGGGTGGCAATATATTATAAATATTAACAATGAGTGTATTGATCGAAGATTTGTGTAGTTTCAGCCTACGAATTGGTTAAATGTTCTTTTTGTGGTTATGAATTCCCAATAGATATTGATAGATAAAGATACAGGGTACCGTCATTATGTTTGGTTTTTTGAAAAGAGGCCCGCAGGTATCTCTGAAACCGGCATTTGAAATTATTCTAATAGCTCGCTTTTGTAGTAAGAATATTTTCTCAGCATTGGGGCAATTTCCCCAAAGTAAAGTTCCGTAGCTAACATGGAAATGAAAAAAAGCATAGTATGCTGATAGAAGAGTGTTCAAGTTGACAAAATTCTTCAATTGCCTGGAAAGTTTCGAGACTAATTCTTCGATATATGGTATGACCAATTTAGAGTATCGTGTAGGGTGATGCCTAGTAGTTAGACAGTTTCACCTTTCGTGTTGTTGAGAATGTGATAGTTTGAGTTTTATCTTCATTTAGATCCAAAAGGTTAGCATGTAATCATTTCTCAGCCTGATTTACCACAGTTTTCATTGTGGCGAGCAAGTTCTCATAGTTTTGCTTAGTACATAGGAGAGTTGTATCATCCGCATAGATCATGCATTTATATGGTAACAAGTGAAAGAAGAAGTCATTTATATAAATGGAGGAACAACAGATGTCCCGAAACAGAGCCCTGTGATACTCTGATTCCGTATTCATTTAGTTTCATTAGTAGATTGTGGTGAGAAACACACTCAAACGTCTTGCTCAAATCGTACAATGAGGCCGAACTATGCTGTTTTTGTTCAAAACCATCAACTGTGCTCTTGACCACATGAACAACAGCTTCTATAGTAGAACAAGGTTTTCTAAATCCATATTGATTCGTGTTGAGGGGATTATTAATATCAAAGTAGAGATATAGGCTTTTTCAGGAATAATTTCAAAAATTTTGCCAAATATAGGAATGATGGAGATGGGTCGATGATTTTTAAGGAGGTTTATATCACCCATTTTAAAAACTGGAATCACCTTACCTACTGATTTTAAATTTATCAAAAAAAGTTTCTTCTCTTATACATGCATTAAAAATAAGGCATGTGATCAAAAAAGAACTCGTTCCTCTTATTATTCTACTATTCAGGGTAAAGACATCAAAGCAACTGGAATTTTTCAACTCATTGATGGCATTGAATACTTTACCGGTTCAAAGAAGATATATCTTGCTAAAGAAGGATTGAGACTAGCATCTAGAGATGATGGGCAAGCAATATTAAAAATAAGGCATGTGATCAAAAAAGAACTCGTTCCTCTTATTATTCTACTATTCAGGGTATAGACATCAAAGCAACTGGAATTTTTCAACTCATTGATGGCATTGAAGACTTTACCGGTTCAAAGAAGAAATATCCTGCTAAAAAAGGATTGAGACTAGCATCTAGAGATGATGGGCAAGCAATATTATCATTATAAGGAAGTTGACTAATTATAGTTTCGGTTATAGTGGTAAAAACATATTAAATTCATGAGGTGCGATATCACCACAGGTTTTACGAGAGTTAATTTTCTTTTTTTCAAAGTTGATGAGTTTCCAGCTATCTCTGACTTTATTATCTGAGTCACTAGTGAATGTATCAAAAGCAGACCTTTTCGATTCCAAAATAGCTTTATGATATACATTGTTTACATATTCAAAAACTTGTCATAGATAATTTTTATGGAATGAACTCTGTGGATCTCGTGTCTCTCCATTTTTCTTAAATCATCGTTGAACCAGCTAACCAGGGTTTTGTTGGACTTATTGAGACTCTTTTAAGGGGAAATAATTAATGGTCTAGACTTACGTATAGATTCGATAGAAAATCTACCATAACTTCAGAACAGTTATTGTCGTTGAATATGCTCCAATTAACTTTTTGTAGCGATATCTGGAGTTCGAGAATGCCTGAGGATGATATAATTCTTCTGAATAGAAGGATATTTGTAACTTGCTTGATATTATTCAAATTGTGCATATATTAGTGATCAGAGAGGCATGGATCAATAACGCCAAATTCATAGCTGTTTCCATAAGGATGGGCAAGTTTATATCTACTTACACAATCAACGGTAGGGCAGTGAGTTAGTAGCCAAAGAGTCTGCTTAATTGCTAATACATTGATGGTTGTAGCCGTTACTACGTGGTAGGAGATAGTGATGGGATCATTCGAATTAAAAATATTCGGTCATTCGATTATTGCAATCACTGGAGATATCTCGAGATCACACGTTAAAAGGTAAGACCTCTTTAGTCTTTAGTCCTTAGCTCGCACAAGTTTCTCAACTTCTGAGAGTTGTCGTTCGTATGGGGGCGACAGCTGATTAACGAAAAAACATATTTTTTTAAAACAGATTCGAATGTTGAATGTATCGAATCAAATTAGTAGTGAGTGAAATAGTCGAAAACAGTATTAAAGTCTTACGCTGCTATGCACCAGTGTAGTGCCGATATACCGACACTTGTTTATAGGATGTGGTGAAATACTGAAATACTGGTTTGGGCTGAAAATGTTCAGAAATTTGTTGACAATAAACTGTCATTAATACACACTTTATTGAAATTTAATGGTGGCTTGTTAAAATATATTGAAAACATAAACAAAAAATAAAAGTCCTCACAAAAATGAAAATAAATTATATGTTGATTTGAATTGGTAGTGTTACCAAAAAACTTGGAAATTCGACACTGAACTTGAACATTTTCTATTTTGTCGAAATGTTCCCAAACAATAGATTTCTTAGCTCCAGGCCGCATTATTCAATATCAAAACAGTACCTAATAATAACGGAATAAAGGTATCAACTACACAATAAGTAAGAGTAGAAAAAATAATGGAATATATGAGAATAAAGGTATCAACTACACAATAAGTAAGAGTAGAAAAAATAATGGAATATATGAGAATAAAGGTTTCAACTACACAATAAGTAAGAGTAGAAAAAATAATGGAACATATAAGTAATAACAGAAATTTCGTTGCAACGGCTTCGAATCCTTCAAACTGAAAAATTATTGCCTATGTTTCAGTTTCATTGCTCTCTGTTTGTATTCTTAGTGCGACAAATTCAAACAATCCTAACTCATAAAATAATCCAGTTCATTCAGAATTTTGCCACGATTTCCGCCTTCAAGCGAATAGCAACCTTAAAGCGAATTAGTGTGGGCGTTTCACATGGCACATGACCTCATGAGCATCGAGTGATTGCGTGCTTATTGCACGCCGGATCTCGAATTAAATCGGTGAGTGATGAGTGACGTAGTATCCGAGTGATTTCATTCGAATGATATTTCGATTTTTGGGATCACTCGAATACCCATCATTCGATTCTCAGAATCATTCGATTATGCCCATCACTAGTAGGAGATCATCCTGGGAAGCAATTAAAGTCTAGCACATCGTGCCGGAGATCACACTGCTGAGAATATCCAGCCTTTGCTAATGCTGCCACTCTACATTGACAGAGAAAAGACTGTCAAGGAAGTGCTTGAAGTACAAATTGGCTGACTTCGTCGAGAACTAATGGCAAAGAGGGGGAGCAAGTAATGCTCTACGAATTTCCCGTTACCTGCATATTGCATCCTGAAGTTATTCGATTACAGCCACGACGATTGCACGAAGATTCTCAAGAATTTGAAGTTTGAATTCGACTCGAACACTGATTCGATACTGGTATCGTTGAAAACACAATTTCCATAAGAGAATCGGTACGTATGCTACAACAGCTGGCTAAGGTACGAAGATTCCTCAGTCAAGATCGTGCAGGAAGAACACGATTCGACCAAAATAACGATCCACTAGGGGGATAATGTTGCTCAGAGTCTGTTTTGCGTTTTTACTGAATTTGATTTTTTGTTAGTTTCGGTGAATTACTTTTTTCTTCATTTTGTTGTGATGTAACTTCTATTTAATTTCATAATAAAAGGTATGGTTACTCAAAAATTTAAAATAAATAATACTATCGAAAATGTTCACAAAAATTCTTGAATAAATACCCTCAACAAAATTGAATTATCTACACAAACACTGAAAAATACTTGTTCCTCGATCGCTCATTGCCAACAAACTTGACATTTTCAGGAGGCCAAGTTGATATTCAACTTAAACCAACTTTCGATCTTGCTTATCTTTTAAATAACGGATAATTTCCGTAAACAATACTTTCATTGCAGGAATTCCAAGTTAAATTAACAAAACCAATGTTTAACAGGAATGTCAATTTGACAATTCTTTGTTTTCCGTGAGGAATGCACCACTGCTGAAAAAATCAAGAGCGCTGTACTAAAAGCATTGCATATTGAGTGTTTTTTTAATTATTTTAATCAACCAGACGATAAATATCATATCTCAAACGTTATATTCAAGCATATAAATGAAATATAAACATCGGATGGCCACCATTGAGAATGACAGTGTTCCACGTGAGTGAAATTTCACCTCTTTCATATACTATGGTGTGTAGCAATCCTGTGAATGATATCTGTTTCAATTCCTTGAATGTTAGCAGTACTATCTGAATAGGATTTTTTTTTTAATAATTCAATGTTCATATTAAAGTAGTTGTTTCTCAATCATTTTTTCTTTCGTGTAATTCAATGTCTGAAAATTACTTCTTTGTGAAGAGTAATTGCTTACAAAATTGTTCTTTCCCAAAAATTATTACTCCTAACAATATGTCACTTTTTAAATTTTATTGGGTTCATATAAACAAAATCAGTATCTACTATAAACTATCGGATTATTCAGCGTGATCATTCAACGATGAAAAAGTCGCTTTAATTTCATTCAATGGTTAGATTCAGTTAGTACTACTTACAGAGGTGAATAAAGTGACCTGTTACCTGTTACTTAATGAAAATTTATAACACTATCCATGATAATAAATAAGCAATTTTAGCAAATGAAATGTTCATTCTAAGCGTGTTTCGCTAACACCGTAGCTTCATCGGTAGTAATGACAGATAGCGGTAAAAAGGATTTAAGGAAGCTGCTGGGGCCCTATTCTCAAATCCCTTGTCGTTCGCAACGTATGCGCAGGTGATGTCACACGAACGATTCCGGCGAAACTGCTATTCTTGAAACATTCGTATTTCGATTATGTGTTTTTACTCACCAGAACGAGTGGGTTGAGAGAAATTTGGATTTTGGATTTCTGCGATTGATAAGTATAAATGGATATGAACCATAATAGCATAAACTCAAGAATACCGATTTTTCAGGAATATTTCGTACGAACGATCACAGAACTACGTATACGTAAACAATAGTCCTTCGAATATTTATGATTGATGTATCTGAATGCGTTTCCCTGTAATATAGAAGAAGACGAGTGAGAGTTTAATAACCTTTATGCTTCTTCTTGTATTTTTCGATTGTGAATTGTCACTGTGACCTGTCTTTGAAGTTCATACCATCTGTGAAGGAAAATAATTCTTTGTTTCTACATCTTCATACTACATACTTAAGTTAACAAATTATGGCAAGCACGTCCACATCGTCTAAACCCATCAGTGTTCAAGAGTATTCCATAAGGGTTCCCAAACATATTCAAAAGAGATATCATGTTATGAGATTCAATGGTACTTTGGACATTGACTTCTCAAAATGGACCAAAGTAAGTATGGAACGAGAAAACAATATGAGGGAATTCAAAGGAGCAGAGGAGGAGCAGCCCAAGTTTGGGGCAGGATCAGAATTTGGCAGAGAAGCGAAAGAAGAAGCGAGACGTAAAAAACTAGGAATTGTTGCTAGAAAATACAAAGCTGATGACCAACCCTGGATTCTCAAATCCTACGGAAGTACCATTAAAAAATTCAAGGGCATCAGAGAAGGGGGAGTTTCTAATAATACTGCTTATTATGTTTTCACACATGCTGAAGATGGAGCCATTGAGGCGTTTCCTTTGCATGAGTGGTATAAATTTCAACCAATTCAAAGATATAAAGCTTTATCAGCAGAAGAAGCAGAGATGGAGTTCAATAAACGTAATAAACATTTGAACTTTTTTTCATTGATGTTGAGGAAGAGATTGAAAGGGGAAGAAGAAGCAGATTTAGATGAAGGCGAAGAAAAAAGCAAAAAGACTTCATCTAAAAAAGAAAAAGAATTGAAAATTTCAGACATGGATGAGTGGATGGAAAGTTCAAATGATGAATCCTCTGAAGAGGAGGAAAAAGAAGAAACTGATGACGCTGATAAGAAAAAGAAAACAAAAAAAGCAGATCCCAAAAAGACTAAGAAGCGTGATACTGAAGGAGAAGCTTTCGAAGATTCAGATGATGGAGACGATGAAGGAAGGGAACTAGACTACATCAGTGATAGCAGTGATAGTGAACCCGAAAATACAAACCTTGAGGGAGTTTCCGAAGAAAAGGCACTTAGGAAATTATTGAATTCTGATGAAGAGTCTGAGGATGATTCTGACAAATCAGACAAGGAACAAAGTAATGAAGATGAACAAAAGGATAAAGATGAAGATAAAAATGAGGAAACAGATGACAAGAATAAAACTAAAAAGAAAAAAGGAAAGAAGAACAAGAAGGATATCAAGAAAGAAATTAAAAAAGAAGGAAAAAATGACGATGATGATAATGTTTTCAGTTCCGATAGCAGTACTGATGAGGAATCTAAGAAAAGTAAACCAGAGAAGAAAGAAAAAAAGGAAAGTAAAGAAAAAGTTGAAGTTGAACCGTGCAGTGCCAATAGTTCAAGATCTGCCACTCCTACAGACAGCAAAAGAAAATTAATTAATGATGTTTTGGCTGGACCAAGTCCAAAGAAGGCAAAGTTAGACCTGCCAATTTTTACTTCTAGTTCTAATGAATCTGGAATAACGGAGGATGCTGTTAGAAAATACCTAATGAGGAAACCTATGACAACTACGGAACTGCTTCAGAAATTCAAGTCTAAAAAAACAGGACTCTCAGGTGAACAGCTAGTTAATATAATGACACAAATATTGAAGAGAATCAACCCTGTGAAACAAACACTTAAAGGAAAGATGTATTTGTCTATAAAGTCATAGTTAATTATTTTACAATTCATATTGTCTTTGTATAATAACAAAAGGTGAACATATTATTTATTTTAGATTTTGAGTAATGATTTCTTCATAAATGAATTGCAAATAGATACCACTAGGAAAACCAATGGAGAACAGTAACAAAGAATACTTAATTAACTAACTACTGAATATAGACAGAACATTATATGTAATCATATGTTCAAGACAAAAAAAATGTCTTGGAAAACAATTCATTAATTTTCACTAAAGAAGTATCTTCCAAATATTTATTCATCGCTATCTCAACTGAAAATTGTTTTAATCATTTGTGGACCACAGTGTAGAGTGAGCCAATAATGGTTCAAATATTGAAATTTCTCGAATATCTACCTCAATCCAATGTGTAAATTTCGAAAAAATATCAATTACATTGACATCCTTTAACAGGGTTTTTTTATCTTTGATAGTCGATACTTACTCTTCGGAGTAACTATCAACTCAATGACTTTTGATTCTATTCAATAACTGTATATGAAGTGTATAATATATAGAATATATTTTGATGATTGAGTAAAAAGAAATTTGTACTTGCACTCAGAGTTACATGTCGCCAAGATATATCTATATTAAATCTGCCACATTTTACTTATTGGTAATATATTTCAAATATTTCGGCTTAATAAAAATCCCACCTTTTAATCTGGAGCATAGCTCAAATAATTTATTCATCTTAGAACTATTAACGAAGTAATTGTTAATTCTTCAAAGAGAATCTACTGATGAATATTAAAATATGTAAATGATGCAAAAAAATATACAAAATATTTTTTGTAGTATATAATGATGATTCATTTGAAAACCGTTTCCCCTTGAGTTCAGACACTGTAAAAATATAAAAAAGTATACTTGTTCAACATGAGTTTATTGCTTATTTTTCGATAAAATAACCATGAATTTCTGCACATTTTATGTAACTTCTCACTAAGGCACTGCACCGCAGTAATTTCAATGTAAAAAAATTGAACTTACTGGCTGCATCTATCAACACAAGGGCAGTTTTTTCCACGTATATATACAGGGTGTCCCTGGACTTCCTCTTTTCCTCTCGGGAATGTATAGATGGGGTCAAAATATCACCAGTACTTCATATAACTTTTTTTC